ATAACCCGACAAAGCTTCAGAAGCTCCTGCACAAAGAGCTTGCACCCGAAGATGCTGCCGAGTATACCCGAGATATCATCTCAGAGGACATCCCACTCGGTCTCAAGGATTACATTGACAACACACTCTTACCTCGCATGCGCGTCAAGCCAGGGCGAATTGGCATCTCTGTGTCAGCCATACGTTGCCTCATGGAAGCTGAGGGCTTTGCATACATGATGCACAAGAAGGCTGTTTATTACGATGGCCACGAACGCCCCAATGTTGTCGCAGATCGCAACAAGCGCTTCCTGCCGGCCATGCAGGCTTATTGCCACCGCATTCGCCGCTTTAAGATTGGAGAAGTTGATGTCAAAGAGATGCTCGAGGTGCCTCTGGAAGGAGAATGTCGCCTGGTGCTTGTTGCGCATGATGAGATGACAGCTCAGGCCCACGACGGGCTTTGATACAGCTGGATTCTCGAAGGCGAGCAGCCATTGAAAAAGAAGGGTGCCGGGCGGGGTATATATCAAAGTGATTTCATCTGTTCGACTGTCGGTTGGTTGAAGGAGGCAAGTGTCACCCTCGAATACGGCAAGAATCACAATGGCTTCTGGAACGGTAAACTCTTCATCAAACAGGTACATTTTATCAACTGCCACTGCTATATTTGTATACTGATATGATTGCAGCTCAAGACAAAGTTCTTCTCTGCCTTTGAGAAGGCTCACCCGGGCTGCAAGGCTCTTATCCTCGTTGATAACTCCCAAGGCCACTCTGCATACGCAGATGACGCTTTGCAAGTCTCCGAGATGAACCTCGGTCCCAGTGGGAAGCAGCCACGTATGCGTGACGGCTGGTATGTCGACGCGAACGGTGCACGCGTCGCACAGACCATGCTTCTGCCAGCTGATTATCACGACGATAAACTCGCGGGTGGACTGCGTGGCATGGAGAGTGTTCTCTGTGAGCGTGGGCTCTGGCCACGCGGGGGATTGCGCAGGATCTGCGACAAGAAGCGACACGGTGGTTGTTCCGAGGACAAAAACAAACACTGTTGTGCAACCCTAACCCTCTCGTTGCAGCCCGACTTCTTGGAACAGAGGTCTTTGGTCAAAGAGGTGATGCTAGGGACACACTTGGTGGGGACCTCCGAGCTGCGCAAGATGACACACAGACAGACAGATGTCAAGCACAAGGGTGTGCAAGACGCAGACAGAGAGCAGTGGAGAACGTCTACAGGCTAGATTGCAAGATGGACGAACTAAAGGAGCTAAAGTACATGGGGGAAGAGTCTTATATACAAGTCAAGGCAGTGTGTGAACGGGATGACGAAGACAGACGAGTAGGCGGATGACTGAGCGAGCCGGGCCCCGCTGACAAGGGAAGGGTGCATAAGCAGGCCAAGTCATATGTGTACTGTGTGAGCCATGCGAGTCCGAAGTCCGTGTGCCGGAATGCCGAGATGCCGAGATGCCGAGTCGGAACAAAGAACGTCCGGGAATACATGACATCGACCATCCACACCAACGGTTTCAGCCGCCTAGGTCCAATATGGAGAGCGGCCGAAGGGCGACACGTTGGTAGGGGGCTTCAGCCGCCTAGGTCCAATATGGAGAGCGGCCGAACCATGGCATTGCCCCCTCTCTAAGACATGCTTACGCCCGGAGCATGTCGTTTATGGTCCCTGGTAATTTTTTGGGCGTGGTGCTCGAGGATGACATTTGTGGTACTCATCTATAGCATCCTTGGCATTCTTGAGGGCAGATGCTGGGCGCCATAGGTTCACCGTGTCTGGGTAGCCCTCCCATTTGACGAGGTACTCGAATCCACGCTTGTTCCTAGTCTCTTGGCCGTTCAGGATGGCCTCTACCACATACTCCTCCTCATCGTCGACCAGCTCAGGCAGCTCTTCTGTGTAGTTAGGGCCGTGCTCGGGCGTCTCCACGTATGGGGTGAGGAGTTGAGCGTGGAAGACCGGATGGATACACTTCCAGGTTTTGGGGATATCCAGACGGAAGTTGATGGCAGTCTCCGGGTTGCCGAGGACCTCCGTGATGGTGAACGGCCCGTGCCGCTTGGCATCAAGTTTTGCCTTCGGTCGAACGGATTTGAGGTTCTTGCCCTCCAACCAGACCTTGTCACCGACTTTGAATGGCTTGTAGGTAGCCTCAGGGACGCCGTGGTGGTCCTTCATAAGTTCCGCAGCGATCCGCAGGCTAGCCTGGGCCTCCTCGCGCACTGACTCGAGATGACGTAGCCGGTCCCGAAGATGTGGGAAGCGTGCGGCGGGATTGAGCTGGGGGTAGGCACGCGGCGTGAAGCCATAAAGCAGCTCAAATGGCGACTTGCCAGTGGACGCCTGAATTTGAGAGTTGTGAGCAAACTGGGCTAGTGGGAGCCAGTCAACCCAATCGTCCTGGCGGAAGTTGCAGAATGCGCGCAGATATTGTTCCAGTTCCTGGTTGAAGCGTTCCGTTTGGCCATCAGTCTGGGGGTGGTAGGAGGTGCTGAGCGACGACTTGACCCCGAGTTTGGTGAGTAGCGTCCGGGTGGTTTCACTGGCGAACTGGCTACCACGATCAGAGATGAGCTGCTCCATAAGAC